TGCAAATCGGTGCGCAGGCGCAAGGAAGTTGAGCATGTGCATGTAGCTCTTGTAAAGCCTCTCCATCTGCCTTTTACTTTTGCTGCATTTTCTAACTCAGAGAATAATTCTATTTCTACTACATCTACTTCTACAGTAAAAAATAAGTCTACTTCTAATCCAACTACTTCGAATTCAGTTGTTATTGCTGTAAATTCTCAAACTGATTTTCTCTCTCATCCTCCACCGTAAATTCCGAACAAAGATTCGCCGTCTATTAGATTGATTTCCGGAAGTTCTGGCTGAACCTCGTGGAGTTCCCGAGCGTCCGGTCAATCACAAGATCGAGATAATAGAAGGAAGTGTTCCTCTAAAGGGTTGCGTCTATCGTATGGGGCATGGGGCAAGGCGAGTTGGAGGAGTTGAGGGGACAAATTGACGACATGATTGATCGTGGATGGATTAGGCCTAGTGAGTCCGAGTTCGGTGCACTTGTCCTATTTATGCCAAAGAAAGGAGGCAAACTCCGGATGTGTATCAACTATCGTGGCCCAAATCGTATCACTAGAACGAACGCTTATCCCTTGCCGCGGGTTAGATGATTTGCTAGATGTTGCAGGTGGGTGCAAGGTCTTCTCTAAGATCGATGCAAGTCTGGCTACCACCAGATTAAAGTTGACCCGAACGACCAGCACAAAACTGCATTCAAAACACGCGATGGGCTGTAAGAATTCATCGTTATGCCTTTCGGTCTCACGAATGCACCAACCACATTTCAGTGCCTCATGGACAAGGTTCTCCACCATCAGCTCAACAGGTTCGTTGTTATTTACCTCGTCCTGATTTTCAGCATATCCATGGAAGAGCACATCAAGCACCTTGAGGAAGTCTTACAGATTCTCAAGGAGGCACAAGTGCACCTCGTCTTAGAGAAATTTGAGTTTGGAAGGGACAACGTCATCTATCTTGGGCACCGGTTTTCTACAAAACGGCCTTCAGCCTGAGGCAATAAAGGTCGAGGTCATACGAAACTGGCCTCAACCGGCGAATGTATGTGAATTGCGTTCCTTTCTTGGTTTGGCTTCATATTACCGGAAGTTTGTGCGTAATTTTTTTGTCATTGCTCACCCACTCTCGAGACTAACAAGCAAAATTATCACTTATGTGTGGTGTGAGAAATGCGAGACTGCGTTCAAGCCTTGAAAAAGGCTTTGGTAAGCCATCCTGTGCTCCGCATTGCGGGTCCCTACCTCATGTTCGTGGTCACTACAGACGCAAGCCAGTATGGGATTGGCGCAATGCTGCAACAAGATGATGGCGATGGTCTGCGCCCGCTCAAGTATTATAGCAAAACGCATGCCCAGCCACAAGGTAGCTACCTCCACATATATGCGTGAGCTCTATGCCTTGCGAGAGGCGCTCACACATTGGAAGCACTACCTCTTGGGTCGTCACTTCAAGGTTTACTCAGATCATCAAACCTTGCAGCGGGTCAAAACGCAAACTGATCTCTCTCCGACGCTGACCCGCTGGCTGCATGACATTGATGTTTACAATTTTGAACTGAAACACAAGAAAGGTTGTTATAATCGTTGATGCTTTGTCACGTCATCCCGAGTTTTTGACTTGCCTTGTGAGCTCATATGACCTCCGAAGGAAACTGAAGGAGGATCTGGTCGAACACACTGCCAAGGATTCGGATTCGGACCTTAGTCCCATCCTTGAGCAGCTCAAGGCTGACCCTAGTAGTCAACCTGATTTTCACGAGTGCGAGGGTCTTGTATTCCGACGGTATGGGAAGTTTGATTGTTTGTGTGTACCCAACCATGCGCCTCTTCGGACTCATTTCTTGGATTTGGCACATGGTTGGAGTGGACACTTCGGCTTTGAGAAAACTTATGGAAGTCTTTTGCAACAGTTTGATTGGCTTGGAATGAATGGATCCGCTCAAGAGTTTATTGCTGAATGTCAAGGCTGTCAAAGAACCAAGGGCCATAAAAGGTCCATAGGCATGAGCCTTATGGCTTGCTGAAACCCCTCCCCATTCCTGATGGACCCGATGCGTCAGTTTCCATCGATTTCACGGACATGGGAAAGGTGAGTGAGGGAGGAAATTCACAAGTTATTGTCATCGCGGATCGTTTTTCCAAATTTCTGAATCTGATTCCTTTGCCTTCCCATGCCCCAACTGAGCTTGTGATCGAAGAATTTCATAAGCGGTACATTCTACAATATGGCCACCCGAAAACTCTTGTGAGCGATCGGGACACCAAGTTCATTAGTAAAGATTGAAAGGATTTCACCTCTCAAATCTACGACATTAACTCGACATGACTTCTGGTCGACACCCCAAAGCCAATGGGTTGGCCGAGGAAATCAACCAGACTGTCATTCAACTACTTCCCACGTTGATTGTTAACGATCAGAACACGTGGGACAAGATACATAAAGTGAAGCCACTCCATTCACTCCGCAACTGTTGTGACACTGAATCAGTTGCAATACAGTTGTCAACTGGGCAATCCGCTCTCCTATTTGTTCCCCAATCGGTCACCTGGTCTGACGCCCGACATGCTTGGCTACAATGCCAAGTATGCACGCTTGCTTAAAGTTGCTATCGCAACAATGAACAAGCGCCAGCGTGCCACATGCTAACAAATCGCACAAAGCAGGGAATTTCGAAGTAGGAAGTTACATCTGGATCAAGATCTCTGAATTTTTCGAAGGAGAGGGTGTATCACGAAAGCTCATTCCATTGTACTCTGGTCCTTGGCATGTTCTAAAGGTGGTAGGAGATGATAATTTTGGTCCTTCATACGTAATCGACGTACCTCCTCATCTGCGTACGTATCCGTTCTTTCACGGATCCAAACTGTTCCCCCACATTGATGATGAAACTTTTCCCTTTCGAGATCCTATGATACCTCGTGCTATCAACGGTGGCCACGAAATAGACAGAATTGTTTCTCATGAAGGAAAAGGGAGGAACAGATAGTACAAAGGCCACTTCCTTTGTCACTCGTTGAACGAGTTCTACTGGATCGACCGAAAAGAGTTGTTTAAGAATGCTCCGCGTGTTGTTAACGCTTATCAACGACAGATCGCTGATGGGCAGACTGCTAAGTTTTTTGCAAAACTCACAGAAACTCTCTTTCTGATCTACGCCTATGACGCATTTTGTGCGGACTCTGAATAAGTTACTCGCTCGAAGGGACCTCGCTCTTAAGAGGGGGGTAATGTAATGACCCGCCAAAACACAGACTAAGAACGCTACTGATTTCTGGGATTTGCCGTTGGAATGATGCCTTGCTGAGATTCCCGCATTCTGATGTGATTTCTAAGTCCGTATGTGTGCGTGCCTGCTGGTCTGCGTGCCTGTGTGAGTGCTTGTCGGCCTGAGTGTGTGTGTGACCCGCGAGGGTACTTGTTGGTTGAAAGGTCCTGCAGGGCCGGTACTTACCTCTAGCCGTGACTTTGAGGGTTGCAGCGGGGAAAACACTCAAGTAGCATGGGTAGGCCCGCGACACTTGAGCAGCGGGAAACACACTCAAGTAGCAGGTAGGCCAGTGTAGGGCCTCACCCTGTTAGACTTTCGAGTCTGAGTCTACCCTTCTGCGGGTCCTAGTTGGCTCGGCTCCGCCCACACTCATGCTCAGGGTGCGGGACCATTCGTCACAGGGTCACCCCCAACTAGTTCTTTGAGATGGATGGGGTTGGGCCATTGAGCGAGAGAGCTTTGACATTGAGCATGAGCGAGAGAGCTTTGACATTGAGCATGTAGCTCAACTTTCTCGCTATGTTGGGGGGGGCAATTTGTTGTTCACTCGCAAACGTCCATTTTCTGATACTTTGTTGTGTTCTCATGCCATTGCTCCTTCCAATACACAGGCAATCCAGGGGGTTCTTTGATACTTCTCTTCCATTATGCGCAGACTAAGCGTCATCCTTAGGCCACGCATTCATTCCCTAACGCAATGGTCCTATAGCTTCATCGAGGTAGGCGTCGCCCGGTCTGCGCTATCCTTCTTTGTCCCACACATCATGCATCATGTTTGGTTGTGTCTCTGTGCACCCCTTAGTCTTTTCAGGGTTCCCTCCCGCATACTCATAGGACTTGGCGGCACTCTTGACTATCCGAGACTTTTGCTGATTTCAACTAAGCAGACCATGTCCTTTTTTTTCATTTATACTTGAGCCGCATACACAAAAACTATCATCCATAGGCAGGGATTACGTTTGCAACCCGCTTAGCTTATGTCCCCTCTTCCCTTTTGCCACCCGGCCTATCCGGGCACTGTCCAATCCAAAGCATCCTCAAAGGCTACTCACCTACGCACTCAATCACAATGCAAAAACAGATACAGCCCCATTTGGGATCAACACATAGCCCCTCGCACATGTCTAATCTCAGTGTCCTAGGTTCTTTCCCTTCTTGTTTCCTTCCTTTATCCAAGACATCCTCTTCTCTTAGCCATGCAGTCGGAGTTTTGGATAAGTCAACTGACCTCTCTTTTTATTGGCAACTCTTTCTAGTCCTTCTGGGACTTTGTCAATCGTCAAGCCTGTCAGGCTCTCCTCTTTCTTATCTTCTTGGTGGCACAAGGGGCCGACACCCCTCCCCTTGCCCTCTTCTTCCACCAAGTGAGATTCAGAGTTTTTTCACCGCCCATACCCTGGCAATGTAACGAGTGTGTCGGGGAGGGGTTAGTTGCATGCCAAGAGGAAAGGGGAGTGAGGGTAAGGGTTGACCTTGGGGCTTTGAAAGAGGAGGATGGGAGGGGTTGGCGGTCAAGAGAGGGAAGGGGGGAGAGAGAGAGAGAGAGAGAGAGAGAGAGAGAGAGAGAGAGAGAGACTCCCTCCCCTAAGCCTAATCCAACCTACCCCCTACTCGTCCTACCGTCCTACCTATAACTCCTCTAATGACCTTCTGCCCTTAACGCCTTCGACCACGACATTGGTTGGTGAAGGTGGAGGAGGGTGAGGGTGCGAAGGCACTTGGCTATGGTGAACGAGTGAAGAAGGTGGAGGGGGAAGAAGTTAGTGAAGGCACTTGACTATGGTGGATGGGTGGAGGTGGAGGTGGAAGAAGGTGAGAAGGTGCTTGGCTATGGAGGATGGGTAAACGAGGTGGAGGTGGAAGAAGGTGATGTAAAGGTACTTGGTTATGGTGGATGGGTGAAGGAGGTGGGGCCGAAAGAAGATGTGAAGGTGCTTGGCTATGGTGGATGGGTGAAGGAGGTGGAGGTGGAAGAAAGTGTGAAGGTGCTTGGCTATGGTGGATGGGTGAAGGAGGTGAGGTGGAAGAAGGTGTGAAGGTACTTGGCTATGGTGGATGGGTGAAGGAGGTGAAGGTGGAAGGAGTGAAGGTGTTTGACAATGGTGGATGCATAAAGGAGGTGGGGGTGGAAGAAGGTCTTTAGGTGCTTGGCTATGGTGGATGGGTGAAGGGAAGAAGGTGGAAAAAGGCGTGAAGGTGCTTGGCTATGGTGGAGCGTGAAGGAGGTCAGGGTGGAAGAAGGTGTGAAAATGCTTGGCTATGGTGGATGGGTGAAGGAGGTGGAGGTGAAAGAAGGTGCAAAGGTACTTCGCTATGGTGGATGGGTGAAGGTGGCGGAGATGGAAGAAGACATGAAGGTGCTTGGCTATGGTGGATGGGTGAAGGAGGTAGGGTTGGAAGAAGGTGTGAAGGTGCTTGGCTATGGTGGATGGTTGAAGGAGGTGGAGGTGGACGAAGGTGTGAAGGTGCTTGGCTATGGTGGATGGGTGAAGGACGTGGAGTTCGAAGAAGGTTTGAACACACTTGGCTATGGTGGATGGGGGAAGGAGGCGGTGGTGGAAGAAGATGTGAAGGTGCTTGGCTATGGTGGATGGGCGAAGGAGGTGGAGGTGGAGGAAGATGTGAAGGTGCTGGGCGATGGTGGATGGGTGGAGCTGGAGGTGGAAAAAGGTGCGAAGGTACTTGGCTATGGCGGATGGGTGGAGGAGGTGGAGGTGGAAGATGGCGTGAAGGTACTAGGCTATGGCAACAACCTCCCACCTTCTTCCTCCAACTGCACCCATCCACCATAGCCAACCACGGCTCACCTTCTTCCTCTTCCACCTTCATCACCCATCCACCATAGCCAACCACCACCCACCTTCTTCCTCCTCCTCCATCACCCATCCACCATAGCCAACCAGCACTCACCTTTTTCCTTCTCCGCCTCCATCACCCATCTGCCATAGCCTACCACCTCCCGGCTTCTTCTTCCTCGACCTCCATCACCCATACGCCATAGCCAGCCACCTCCCACCTTTTTCTTCCTCCACCTCCATTGCCCATCCGCCATAGCCAACAACCTCCCACCTTCTTCTTCCTCCACCTCCATCACCCATCCACCATAGCCAACCACCACTCATCTCTTCCACCTCCATCACCCATCCACCATAGCCAGCCACCACCCACCTTCTTCCTCCTCCACCTCCATCACCCATCCACCATAGCCAACCATCTCACACCTTCTTCTTCCTCCACCTCCATGTTACATGCTGCGCCCGCAACATGCTGCGCCTGAAACGAGGGCCATTTTCAGGCCCTGTGTTGTTTCCAGCCTAAAAGCCTGAAAACAAGGGCCTATAGGCTCTATGTCGTTTTCAGCCTAAAAGCCTGAAAACAAGGGCCTAGATGCCTTGTGTCGTTTCGGCCTGAAAGCCTGAAAACAAGGGCCTACAGGCCCTGTGCCGTTTCAGCCTAAAACAGGGCCCTCCAGGCCCTGAGTCTTTTCAGCCTGAAACCGGCCCTCATAAGATCGACCTGCCCTGAAACTTAGGCACCAAACCAAGGTTTTAGCACAGGCCATTTTGGGCGTGTTTTCAAGACAACCTTTGTTTGAGCTTCAACGCCAGGGTCTGGCACATTTTGGCATTGGCAAGAGCAGCCTCCTGGACGGGCCAGCACTATATAAGACTGCCCCGCCCTGCAGGCTGCAGGTAGTTCGTAGGGACTTCCCAAACACTTCACGAGCAGTTCAGGAGGCAGGAGGTAGTCTTCAGGATTCGGCAACAACACTCTGGAGGAGCGCTGCAGTGGTAGTAGTAGCGTTAGCAGTAGTCTTCAACACTGGGCGGTAGTAGGAGCTAGAGTAGTACTGGGGAGAGAAAGAGATTGGGCGAAGGCCAGGGAGACTTACCTGCAGCGCCATAGCTCCAACTTCGTCTTCGAGGTACCTGCAGCACAGTGCCACCTAGCACGTGAGAGAGAGAGAGAGAGAGAGAGAGAGAGAGAGAGAGAGAGAGAGAGAGAGAGAGAGAGAGAGAGAGAGAGAGAGAGAGAGAGAGAGAGAGAGAGAGAGAGAGAGAGAGAGAGAGAGAGAGAGAGAGAGAGAGTTCTTCTTCCTCCTGTTCTTAGTCCACCATCACCCTCTCACCCTCTCGCTACCTGACTTCACTGCATCAACAGACTACGAGAGAGAGGGCTTGGTGACATTTGGATCCAGACTCGACATTGGGCTTCAGACATTTGACGAGGGATTATCTGGGACTTGTACCGAAGGCTTGGTGTTAACGACATTCCTATCTCCCCCCTCTTCTTCGTCTGATCCCCTCCTCTTCGTCTGTGTATGGTCTGGACCTGGCGCATTCTTCCTGTGTGTAGCGCCAGGCCCCTTCACACCTTGTGATGAGGATGATGTATGTTTGGGCTGCATTGCGACATTGATTGGGCTAGTCATTGGTATTCTAGCATTGCGCTTCGTTGTCTTGTACTACGTGAGAGACGTCAGCCCCGGTCAGGTCAGGACTTGTATCTAAGTCTTCTACTGCGCTACAAAGAACCATTTTTGTACGTATCAGGACTTATATCTAAGTCTTCTGCTGCACTACAAAGCACCATTTTCCCCTCATGTCGCTCCGTAGTTCCTCTTGAGACCTTCTCATGTCCCTGCTTCTTGTCCCGTGTTAGTCCTTGGTACGTGTCCTGCCTGGTGGTCCCCGACACTTTGTCCCGTCGATGGTCCCCAACACTTTGTCCCGTTGGCGGTCCCCGACACCTTGTCCCGTCGGTGGTCCTCGACACCTTGTCCCGCCGGTGGTCCCCGACATTTTGTCCCCCCGACACCTTGTCCCGCCGGTGGTCCTCGACACTTTGTCCCGTCGGTGGTCCCCGACACCTTGTCCCGTCGGCGGTCCCCAACACTTTTTCCCGTCGATGGTCCCCGACACCTTGTGTCTTTTTTTCTCTAGTGCTCTTCGGTCATCAAGGGCCCCTTCCCGTATGGTCTTGGCACCCCGTTGTGGCCCCTTACTTTCTAGTGTCCCGCGGCCACCAGGGCTGTCCACCTTTTGGCTTCACTATTCTCTTGTCATCTGCCGCGCCCCGCTTGCGCAATTCATGGCCCCTCGGGTCCTTGCCATGCTGAATTTGAATGGTCGTCATGACCCTATGCTATGGCCCTATGCGCCCACGTCCTGTTACTTCCTTGCTTGCCATTGTCGGGTCCTTCACCCTGTGGTACTCAGCCCAGGGCATCATTCCTCCCGATTGTCCCGTCCTAGCCGTTTGTCTTTTCTCTCTCTCTTATCTCCTTTCTTCGGATTTCTCTGTCGTGCACAACTTGGCTATATACCGCCTTTCAAGTGTCGGGGCGTTATTCGAGATCCACAGGTCCCAACAACGTGCGATAGCTTTTAAATGCAATTGCAGAGGTAGGTCAGCCGAGGGCGTTTGCTCGTTCGCTGTAGTATAGATACGCTTGGTTAACGCCAAGCGAACCCGAGCGTCGTCCATTCCTTAGGGCGCTGATCTCCTAAGTACGAAGCAAACATTGGTCGACTAGGACGGTCTCAACCAAGCGTGAAACCCAAATCTTCCTAGTCCCTTAAACACACTACTCAAACGAAAGTAATAATAACCGCACTCAATTACTTCAAAAGATCGACTGTAGTCGACGAAAATATATTCAATTTGCGATGATAACCGAAATAATCCAAATCATTATTTAATACATTCAATATCACAATATCAAAATAAACATCCGACCACCTCGGGTCGAACTCCACAAAACAATCATACAATTGCCAACAAGAAGTTGGCTTCCAACAATAAAATTGATGCAACCGACAAGGTAATCGGTTGTCTAAGTTTTTGACTCGATGAGACGCGTTGCCAAAGTTACTCATTCCATCCTATTGTCGACCTAAGATTAGGCACACACACACTCGTCTCCACACATTCCCAATCTTCTTGGATGCCAAGTTGCTTTGCGGATGATTCCTGATCATGTGCATTGCTTGAAGTGTTGCATGTCTCTCCCTCTAGGAAGTGGTCTGGGGTACTCCTCGCCCGCGCACAAAACTCGGATCTCAGAAGTTGGGCCATCTCCACCGAATCGACAGAGTACCCCCCTGTAGAACTGTCCACTCTGGGTCGATAATAGGGTCGGCTCCTAAAGCAACGAACCCCCGCCCCAGATACTCCCTAGAGGTAGAGGATGTGTCCACTGCAAGTAACTTTCAGTTATTCTTATTTCTCTTGAGTTCAAGGTAGCTTGGACGAAAAGAGTCAGAAGGAGATGGAAAACAAGAACCATTTAGACAGGTATAGGTAGATAAGGTCGTTTGGGATAAAAAGGGTCAATCCTCAGGAAAATACTAAATCCGTTTGACCTTATCTACCTTATTTTATCATACTCACTGACTTAGTCTTTTTCAAAACAACGAGTTTACTTTGACAAGCAGGCAGGTGGAAGATAGAAGGAAGACAATCTTTTTCATTTTTCCCCAATAGGCATAAATCAAACTCCTTTGCAAGCATCCTTCTACCTACCTGCACAACACGCAAAGAAAACAAATTCAAAAGAAAACAGCACAATCCCGTACACGAGTCAAACGTTTTCATTCACATGCATAACTCGCACAACTTTCCTCTACCTTTTCTTTTCAACATCCAAAAATAAATTGGGTCAAGCAAAGTGCGGGTTCACACAGGGGTGAAAGGAAAGTTTGAGTCATTCAACGGACTGACCTTGAGTGAAGTTTGATCCGGCTCAGTCAATCGTTGTTGAAGTTCAAACTATGAGGCCACAAATCCACAGGTTGTGGCCGTTCCACTGAGCCACGGTCCGCGTCCTCCTCCAAGTGCCTGATCACACCAAGGTTGGGCCCACTGAGATGTATGAATGAGATAACCCTCGAAGAGTCAAAGAGGGCGCTCCCATGATCAAATCTCACGTCATCCCAACGTCCCGTACCGTCATAGCACAACCTCAATTGTCAGCCGCAAGTCCACGCCGCCTCCAAGCCACGCCAACATGCCGGTCCCGATCTCAAAATCATTCCCACCTGGTCCCAAAATGAGCCCTGATGGTCCCAATGCAGTCCCATATCATCGCTCGCAACACCAGATGGTCCAGAACTCAAAACCGCTCGCATTGCGCGCCGCAAAAAAATAAAGGTGGAAATGTCCTTCCGACGCAAACCACAAGCGCTGCAACTCCAATAGCCAGTGCCGCGTGCACTCACTCCGCGATCTCTTCATGTCGCCGGTCCACGCACCACTGCACAGTCCCAAATATGCACCAATGCCACACTACGCATAACGGCAGACCATCACACGTCAAGCCATCAACCGGTACCATGGTTGCCGTGCGGTACCACCGCCTGATCACAACTCCCACCAAACACTCCAACGACCACACCATCAATGCCGCACTACCAAAATATCGTGGCCGCCGCCGTAAGAAAAACAGTCCGCCGCGCAATGTCAGCAGCACCTCCCCTCAAAAGGTTGTCGAACGCGTTGCAATCCTGTCACTACTGCCATTAAAAAATGAACCCGCCATACCGCACAAAATTTTCGGCAGCATCTCCCCTCAAAGTGCTGTTGATCCGAAATTATTGCGCGACGCAGCCCCCTCCCTTAGTACGTCAATCACTACCGCGCAGGCAGTCGGGCAACACCCCCCCGGCGTGGGCCTCTTGCCGCACGATCCGAGCCTGTCGCAGCCTTACGGGCGCAGCGCACGCACAAGCACGCAGCACAAGCGCGAAGGTGGGGCAAGAAGCTCCCAGCCTTTAGCTATGGCTGCCTCCCCTCTCCACTCTCAGTTCCCTGCAGACCTCTAGTCCTCCTCCAACAACATCTCCTCACAGTAGCAGCCAGCCAGCCAGCATTCACACAAGTGAATGTCCCAACAGCAATGCCGCAAGTGTGAGGCTGCTGGGTGGAGTGCTGGCTTTTATAACCAGCTGAAGGCTGTGGGCAGCTGCCTTGCCCTTAGCCAAAAATTCGTAATTGTTATGAGCCCTTGATCTAACCCATGATCAAGGGTCAGAGTCCTTGATGTTCCCCTAGGGGAACCAGGGTCTTCAGTTCCTAGAAGTATCTGGCCATTCTCCCGGGCCACATACTTCTAGAAATACTTGTACCCAACCATTCTCTGCAGCCTGTTGAAAAACGAACAGGTGCAGTCACTTCACCCCCCAGAACCTTCTGGGGGCTGCACCTATTCCGCGGCCGCGACCAAATTCGCGGTCGTTTCCCTTTTTCTTTTTTCCTTCCTTCCTTTTCTCGTCTTTCTTCTTCTTTATTTTTTTTCCTTTCTCTTAACCCCCGCCTTCATTACCCTGTGCAGGGGCAACTCGCCGTTCGAAATGAACGGCCGCCCCTCACGAACAGAACTAGAGTCAAACTCAACAGGGGCTTCTTTCCCTGCCCCGAGTGCCCGTATCTCGCAAAAAAAAATTGCCAGATTCGGGTGCGTATGCACCCACAACAGCCCGTTCTTGAAATGAACAGGCACCACCTATTTCCCAAACGAAATTAAGAAAAAGGAAAATGAAAACAAAAACAAAAAAACAAAAAGAAGAAAAAAAACGAAGTAAGAAAAAACCTTACCTTGAAAACGACCAGGCTGCCCATTTTAACGGGCGCCCTCTTGCTACCCGTTCGTTGAAACGAACGGGTGTTGTGTATATTTCCATTTCTTGGTCGAAGATTCATTCGATTTTGCTCATCCTAGCGATGGACGTACTACAAGGCCCGACACACGGTTGGAGACTTACCTGTTGGAGTCGCGTTGCAGCCGCCTCCAGGTAAGACGCTCATCCCTTCCTCTCTCCCGCAGTAGTAGTGGTGGTAGTAGTAATAGTAGTAGTAGTAGTAGTAGTGGTGCATATTTCCATGTTCTCGCAGTAGATTCATTTGATTTTGCTCACCCCGCACGGACTGTCGGGGTGCAGCCTCCTGATGAGTCGGTGGAAGTAAGACGAAACAGCCTTGTACAATCACTTTTTTTTCTTTTTTTCTTTGCCCCGTTTATTCGAAACGAACGGGTGCTTCAATCGAAACGTCAAACACAAGGAAAACAAAAAAGAAAAGAAAAAGACAAAAATCTAAACAAAATCTAAAAAGAAAATCTAATAAGAAATCTAAACGAAATCTAACAAAAAACAAAAAAAACTAAAAGAACTTACCTTTGCAAAAAACGGTCGCTCGTTTCCAAGGGCGACTGTTTAGTGGCTGAAATGCCCCAGTCACTTTCGATGGTGCCATGTGGCGCCTCATGTTCAACCTGTCTTAGTTTTTAGTTTTTAGTTTTTTTCTTTCCCCCTTCCGTTGGCCTAAAGCCGACGGTCATGTCGTGGTGGCACATCCACGAACTGTTGAAATACAGACCCGAGTTCGAGTCCTGAGGGACTCGAAATTTTTCTCGATTTTTGTGTGTCATCCTTGCGCGGGGGCCATGCTAATCTTTGCGCGCGCCTGATCTGGGCCGCGCGATCTTCACGATCGGACGGCCAGATCCGACTGCGCTGGCATCAAACAACAGTGGCCAACTCCAAAAGGAACTAGCCCAGTGGCTTGTGCGATTCGATCCCAGTGCTTGTTGGGTAGAAGTCCTGCACTGTGACCTACTGGGATAGCTCCTATCACGGGAGCTAGACCTGCGCCTCTTCTATATGTAGAGGTGCAGCCCCCAGTAGGCGAAGCCCACACTTAACAGGCCCAACCTGCCTTGCCCAGTGCTTCCCCTAAGGATGGTTGCCCATCCACGACTCGAAGATCACTCACGCGGGTAGGCCTTAGCCTCGGCCTTTTGGCCCCCCTATCTCGAAGTCAACGCCCGCGGCCCTAGATCCTCCTATTCCTCCCGCGTCGAGGCCCCATACCCGGAGCATCCTTCTTTTTAGCCTACTTAGGCCCTGAATCGCGCGGCTGCAAAGCATTGCCATTCACATCCATTACTCCCGGACGCCACACGCGTCCAGACTAAAGTCTGAAAACTTTGTCTCTCAGTCACAGGTCAGGTCTGAATAAACTTTTGGCAAACGTCAGTCTCATCAAGCCCTTCGCCTCAACAAAAGAGTCGGACAACGTCCGACGTTTAAAATCCCCGACAAATACCCTTGTCAGGGTATTTGCCCCGACACCGCAATGTGATCAAAAGGACTGAATGGACAATGCACTGTTAGTAAAACATCAATAGACAATGTACACCCTGATACATACAAAATGGCACGTAGTAGCGCAGTGGAAGACTTTAAAATAAGTCCTGACCTAATCGGGACTGACACAACATCCCATCATACATGTGAGAGGAGGAGGAGGGACCGCACACAAAGAAGAAAGGTCCCTCCTTGTACAGACACATGGGGGGGGAATCACAGATGAGAGATGGGGGGAAGAGGAGAGACGAAGATGGAGGCGAGGGAGGAGATCCAGATCGCAATAGCGAAGTCCAAAAATAGTCCCTTGCCTATGTCCAATCAATGTCTGCCTCAGAAATGTTGTATCAGATCTTGGGCACCATGCCCACTGTGACCTCTACCTGTATCGTCTGCCTGTAACCTCTCTCTCTCTCTCGTATCTGAAGAAGAAGAAGAAGAAGGAGAAGAAGAAGTAGGGAGGAGAGAGATGAGGAGGACGGGAGACGAAGGAAGAAGAAGATGTCGTCTTCCCCACTGTCTCACCTGCAGGAAATGCCTCCGTACACTGACCGTTGTGTTGTTGTCGTCCAGTGCAGGTCGCGCGTGGAGTCCCAGCTATGGCGCCAGGTAAGTCCACCGTCTGCAGGTATGGCCTCCGCCCTCTCCTACCTACGCCACTACCTCTATCCTCTAGCGCAGCGCTGAGATGCAGCGTCGGTCCAGCAGCGTATCGCTCGAGAACTGAGTTACCCGAACTGTGTGTACCCAGCCGCTGCCCAACTATATATAGCGTTGGGCGAGGCTGGGTCTCCCTGGTGCTGGCTTCAAAACGGCCCAGCCGCTCTGGGCCCGTACCGGGTGTCCAGACTGTGCTGCTGATGCAGCAAGGCACAAAAAATGCGCCTGGCCTTGGATAGGCCTTGTTCCTGTGTACCTGGCCCAAGGCGCTGCCTAGGTGCCTGCAATCCGAAACGACGTCGGTACCGACGAGAGGTACCTGGCCCAAGGTGTTGCCTTGGTGCCTGCAAGTCCGAAATGGTGCCTGAACCGTACCTGCGGCCTGAAATGCCGCCCTGGGCCTCCAGGGTGCGTGCTGGATGGCGCGCGGCCTAGGGCCCCTTTAGCAACCGTCGGGCCCCTCAAACGGGGCCCATGTGCAGACGAAGCATGGAACACCCATCCACCATAGCCAACTACCTCCCCACCTTCTTCTTCCTCGACCTCCATTACCCATCCACCATAGCCAACCACCACTCATTGTCTTCTACCTCCACCCCCATCTCCATCATACATCCGCCATAGCCAACCACCTCCCACCTTCTTTTGCCTTCACCTCCATCACCCATCCACCATAGCCAACCACCTCGCACGTTCTTCTTCCTCCTCCCCAATCACCCATCCACCATAGCCAACCATCGCTCACCTTCTTCTTCTCCCACATGTATCACAAGCGGTTAACGGGGACCCCCACTTTTCGGCCCTAGGTAACGATGAATGATCCTGAATGATCCTGAATTTAGGGTTTTTTTTTGTTTTTTTGGAATTTTGTTCAAAATGGCCTTATGGTTTTCTTACAAATTGAGGCAAAAAATGGGGGGTCGGTTAACCTTTTCTCTCACCCGGCTGCCCTGCGTACGGAGTATGGGATTGCGGAGCCAAGAGAGGGGCCCTTAGGTAAGGAGATAGGATAAAATCATAAAATAGAAAGGGGATGGGGTCCTTTTGATTAAGCATAGGAGATTTCTCTCTCTCTCTCTCTCTCTCCCTCCCTCTCTCTCTCTCCCCCCCCCTCCCTCCCTCCCTCTCTCTCTCTCTCTCTCTCTCTCTCTCTCTCTCTCTCTCTCTCTCTCTCTCTCTCTCTCTAGCGTGCGCTCGTGCTCTTTCTCTCGCCCCTATCCACCAACTGTCCCCGTCTACCTCCACGTTCTAAGTTTAAGCTAAACACTTCACCCCTTCTTCATCTTGGCATACGACTAACCCATCCCCGTTCACTTGCAAGGGGACAAACAACGAAAGAACTTTGATCTCACTTGGTGGAGAAAGAGGGCAAGGGGAGGGTTGACGGTCCCTTGCACCACCAAGAGGAGAGAGACTTGAGGGTTGAAAGGACTTGAGGACGTAAAGGACTTGAGAATTGAAAAGATTTGAGCATCGAAAGGACTTGAGGGTTGAAAAGACTTGCTGATTGCAAGAAAGGTCAGTGGACTTCACCAACACCCCGACTGCATGAGAATGAGAAGAGAATGGCTTGGATAAGGGAAGGCATGGGAATTGAAGGAACCAAAGGATAAACAGAATAGACATGAGGGAGGCATTATGTGTTGAACCTGAATGGGGGTTCTGCTTATTCCTATATTGCATTGAGTGTGCAGGTGCGTAACCCCCTAAGGTGCCCTGAGCGGGACGGCGCCCGGTGAGACCAGGTGCCGAAAGGAAAAGAAGCAGAATGGGTTGTGAATGTAACCCTCGCCCATGGATGAGCCCTGTTGTAAGCTGCTCCCCTTTGAAAGAAAATGGGGTCTGTATGTTTGGATGTTGGCAAGAGTGTCGGATGGTCGAGAGGAACACTGAATTGCAAGAGTGTGTGGGCAGGGCCTCGAAAACACTAAGAGGCGTATAGAGAAGCATTGGAACAAGATGTATGAATGATTAACCAGGGCAAAGTAAGCAGGATGTGAGCACTTGGACCGACAAAAGGCCAGGAACAAAGGGGGCGCCCTAGTGAGGCTATAAGGGGCCACGCGACTTAGTCGGCAGGCCTAAGCCAAGGGGCGAGTTCTCTGTCTCGTCGATGCTGCTAGACTCTGGACCTAGGAAATGGATGTGTGGCCCAAGGAGGACGCTTGGCCTACGCTTGAAGCAAGACGAACTCTCAAAGAATCCCTTGGACTGCTTGAGCATTGGAAGGAGCAATTGCTTGCAAACACATTTAAGTATCGAGAATGTACGCTGTCGCTCGTTGGCCCACCCCCATCCATCTCATAGCACTAGGTGGGGGTGACTCAATGATGAACGCTTCGCGCCCTGGGCATGCACGTTGGCGGAAGTGAGCCAACTGGGACCTGCTGATGGGTCGGCTCAGGCTCGAAAGTCTAACAGGGTGGGGCCCTACACCGTACTGACTGCAATTATTGCAAGCTCCATGCGAGTAACGGTCTTTCCGCATGTCGTGTTCTAGAGCAGCTTTCACCCATGCATGTGCATTGGGCGAACCTGAGCCTTGCCTTGACTCCTCTGCTGGCCGCCCTTATGCTGGCCAACTGCCTTTCCCTTTGTTGCTGCGGCGACGGTTCCTCCCTCAACATTCTCGTCGCAGCCTATCTCTGTTTCTTCCACAAGATCAGAAATGTCATTTATCTCCTCCTGATTCCCATTGGAATGAATGATCAGGAGACGACCACCCTTCTTCCAATCTTGTGGAACCTTCTCCTTTCTCCCATCTACAACAACTTGCGGAGTGCTCCCTAACTTTGCCTCCAAATCTAAAGCTTGCTTGCTAAAGGAAGTGAGGTCGTGCACATCGATGCTTGCCTCACTAACCAGCATATTCTTGATGTCTCAGGAAGACATCGTAAATACATGGTTAGTAGGATCTGGTTGTAATAGCGCACCCCTGGGACGACAATGCCTTCCTTTACGATGTAGGCGAGTTCGCGGACAGTCTTGTACTTCTTCAAGTCCAATCTGGCCAACGCGTTAGTGGCCTGCTGTGCCTGCTGAGGGTTGTGCCACCGCTGTTCTACCGACTCCGGAAACGAGTCCAGCATCCGAGTCTACGCCCAGTCATCGAACTTCCTACCGAAGCCTTCATGTGCAAGTATACCATCTAGACATCTTGCTGCCGAATCCTTGAGGTATGAGGCAGCCACAATCACTTCCTGATCAGGCGGTGTTCGCTCTGCCCTTACCTACATTGGGACTTTCCTCAACCAAGTGTTGAGGTTCTCCTCCTTCTTGTCCCCTGAGGAGGACTGGGGAGGAGACAACGGGGCCTTTGGAAACCATTGGTGCTGAGGTCCAGCTGGTACCTGTCGCTGCACAGGTGGCTGGACCGGCTGCTGCACTGCAGCTGCAGCAGCTGGATTAGAATATGTGGGACCCTGCCTCCCCACTGCTGACGTACCACCTGGGACAACGGTGCCTGACATCACAGACAATGTAGACGGCGATGGGAACGATGGCCGTGCCCTGACACTAGGCCCGCATGATGTGGATGGGAATGGTCTTCCAATTCCATGCATGGATCTCAGTATCTGGTCTAGGGTGCAGAGCCTGCAAATGGCTGGCCGTAGCTGCGCCCAGCTTCCCTTGGCCGGACCCGACAGCTGCGGGCAGGTCTGGCTAGCCCATATCCCACCTGGCCAGGTGTGGCCAGGTGATGGGAGGATGGCCATGGGCCAGGTTGGGGGCAATTGTGGTGAAAAAAAAGGGGCCAGTTTTAGGTGGCCATTTGCAAAAAAAAAGAATGGCCAGTTGCATGGGGGTCTAGACTTGGCACGGGTCACCTGCCAAAAGTATATGCATGTATGCATTGGGGGTCTACACCCATGCATATATGTCTATTGGGTCACGCGGCCGTAATTTTCACAATTTTTTTTATTTTTTTTTTAAACGCCCCCCGGTTTGCTGTAGGTGTGACCTCGATATGCTTTGAATTTTGTCTCATGACATTTTTTGTCCCACTCACATATGTGGCATGCGCAGTTGTCTCGAGACTTGTCATTCAAGTACCTACCGTCTTCACCCGAATAGAACGCCCGGTCATTATAGCTGTATTTGGCACAACTTTCAGCCCAGATACAGCGATAATTACCGGGTGTTCTATTCGGGTGAAGACGGTAGTTGTTCTCGAGTTCCAATGGTTGATCAACAGTTCTATATTGTTGGGGCCACCAATTGCATAGGTGGGAATGGTCGCTGAGTATGGGAGGGTAGGGTGTTGAAAACGTGGAAAGCGATGGCGGGAACGGCCGGGTATGGACGGGTGAGGATAGTGAAAAAAATGCCATCTATGGGTGGGGGCAGGTGGTGAAAAATATGTCTGGGTCTGGGCAGGTCCGGCTGCAATTCTTCTTCAAGGTCTGGGCTCGGGCGGGCCCGGAGCCCAGCTGCGGCTTGGCCAGGTTGTGAGGATTTTTAAACCACAGTTATGGCTGGCTGCGGCTGCCAAATATTATGGATGTTCAATATGGGTTGGGTGTGGCTGTAGAAGAAGTAGGAGTTTGCGAGCTCTGCTAGGGTGGACTGGATATCATCCAGTTTGCTGTCCATGTGCTCGTACAGCATACCTGCCTTGAGCACTTTAGAAGTGTCATCAAGGACAGAGTCATCAACCTCCTCAACTTTAAACCACCACTACGAGCCCCCTCCATTGAAACTTCAGGCTGTATACAAGCGGGTCGCTCTTTCGATGTACCAACATGGTGTGCATCAGTTTGATAACTTTGATTCGTTTGGGTTGAAAAAATTGGTTTCGGCGAACTCAGGTTTGCAGTACTGGCGCTTTAAGCCTATGTTGGAGGAGCAGAATTATCGATTGTGTGAGAGCAAAAGCTATGGTGCCACGAGTTCACAACATATTAGGCAGAGCTCATGCGTCTGCCACTCTAGCAGACATGCCATGACGTGCAGGTGGATGTGTCCTGGCAATGTTATTTGCTGAGGGGACACAAACGGTTTTTCTGATCCGTCATTCAAAGATTAAAACAAAAAGTAAGGTTTTCCTGATTCGTCATTCAAAGATTAAAACAAAAAGTAATGGGAAGTTAATTCAAATTAGTGGTGGAAGACTGTGAGGGATGAATACTGCAGTTGTTTGCATGACTTCAGCAATTTTGTTTTTGTCCTTTTTTTGTGTTCTTGTGTTCATTGATTGGCTAGAGTTCTGGAGCAAAGCAACCAGCAAGAATCACGTCTAATGTCCGCTTCAATTTACAGTTCATACGACTTTTGCGGGTGAGCAGGCTTTCAGTCTTCCTCTTCCTCCTCTTCCTTTCCTTGCTCGACGACTTCCGCTTCATCATTGTCTTTTACCCCCTCTTCCTTCTCTGTGCGGAGGAGGCTTTAAGTCCTCTTCCTCCTCTCGTCCTCTTCCTCTTCTTGCTCTTCATCTCCCTGTTACTCCTTGTCTTCATCCCTCTGTTCCCTCTTCATCTACACGATTCTGCCTCTCTGTTAATGAAGCAACGTCTCAACTTTCTCTGAGTCATCTTTTCCTGTTTCATCTTATTGTAAGGACTTGCAAAACATGGACCGAGAACACAGCTGATTTCTGACTTTTGCCGCTGGAATGAATGTCTTGCTGAGATTCCTGCTTGTTGCTGAGTTTCCTAAGTCTGTGTGTGTGCATGCGTGCTGGTCTGCGTGCCTGTCTGAGTGCTTGTCCGCCTGAGTATGTGTGTGGCCTGCCAGGGCACTTGTTTGTTTGGGAGGCCCGTATGGCCGGTACTTACCTGTGGCCGTGACTTTGGGGTTGCAGCGGGGAAAAACACTCAAGCGGCCGACGGTATAGCTCAGTGCACACTCGCGTAGTGGTAGTGTAGGCTGTAGGTACTTGAGTAGCATGTAGGGCGGTATCACTCAAGTAGCGGTAGATATGTCCGGAACAAGAGGCCGAGCAGAAGAAGAGAAAAAGTGAGTATTTTTAGAGGCCCAGTAGCTGTAGGCTAGGTCTAGGCGGTTACCAGTCCAAGTAGCCTGAGTCTAGGGACTGTACGGACGATATCAATGATATTTCCCTCTGAAAGGGAGGAGGTACCGGTTGCTTGGAAGCCACGCGGCCTGCTAGTCACCGCCCAAGAGGCAGGTTGGCCGCTATATCTCCAGGAGCAGCAAAGAGTTCCTCCTCATTTTGCTGCATGCACGTTTGGCGTCACGCTGCTGGAGCGCTGGTGTAGAGCAGTGCTGTGGGGAAGAGGAGCGCCCAGCTCTCCACCTTGGCTATGGTGGAGGAGCTTGAGTAGGAGGAGGAGGAAGAAGGGGACTAGGAAAGGGGAGCGCCAGGGGTACTTACCTGGCTATGGTGCTGGGTGCTGCATCTGGAAGGCCCCCGTTGGAGTAGCACTGCAGCAAAGGCTTCGAGGCCGAGTCAGGGATGGCGGCCTGAGAGGAATAGGCCATAGCTGCCTTGCGTTGTCTTTTGCACGTCAGGGCAAGGCCCTTAGTAGTTCGTCATAGCCTCGGCCTGGATGAAGAAGAGAGAGGAGGGCGGCCATGGCTATGGTTGACCTCTTGTTGTGCTGGCAGTAAAAGAGGGATTAGGATATTGATTCTGGTTCAACCATTCATCATCATTATTATTATTATTATTATTATTATTATTATTATTATTATTATTATTATTATTATTATCGTTTGAATAACGGAGGAGGAGACAAGGAGTAGTAGTTGGCCGGGTTGAAGAAGGAGGAATTATCATTGGTCTTTTGCTGGTGTACATCTTCTTCTTCTTTTTTCCCTCTCTCCCCTCTCACGTTCTTCGTTTGCAATTGGACGACATTGTACTTTCTCGTGAATTTGCACTTCGAAATTGGCCAGGATCGTAACATCATTAATCTTTCTTCCTTTCGTTTGAATCCGTTGCGCTTCACAAATGATTGGCCTGTTATAGTATAGGGACTTCCATTCCCTTCCCCTCACGTTATCAGCTGCTTTGCCCCATTACATTGTCATCAGCAGTTGGCTGCATGAGTAGCTAGCTGTGTCAGCAATCGCCACATCACATTTGTTTGACGTGGCTTGCCAGAAGCCCTGCATCAACTGCTAGCCACGACAGAGCACTTCACTCCTTAATACAGCGTCTCTCCCAACATCTTCTATCCTCCCTCGCGGTCCACTCCGGATGTCCATGGAACTCACCCTCCTGTCAGGTAAGCCCCCCGTCGCAGTGTCCCCCTAACTCCAAGTTTTTCACATTCGATCAGATGCGGAAATTCACAAGCTAGAGCTGTCATATCAAACTGCAGTAATACCTCGTTGAAATCACATCATGTATCAAGCTTCAGCTTTTGTGCATCCCGGGCCCTGATACAGATGTGCCCGCCCTAAGTGAAGGCGGGCCTAACAAATCCCGAAAGGCCCATTGCTGTCAATTTCGTATTTGGGGTCCAGGGAGTTGTGACGCGCCAGTTGGTTGAGGGAAACACAGGCCCGAGCAGCAAAGATCTTCCACAGCCTTCCAGGCCCTTCCAGAAATGCAGGCCCTGGGCCAGAATCGCAGCATCGTACACAGACAGTTGGGAGGACCGAACGAGGCCCAGCAGCTGCAACAGAGGCACAGCCTCCTGGGGCCTACCGGAAGCTTCTAGGCACAGGCCCAGCCCAGCCATGCTGCTGGGGCAGGCAGACTCTTTCCATATAGGAAAGAGCTTGCTGCCTGGACGGGCATTCAGGCACTTGCCAGTCTGTGCGGCAGCGCTGCTGGAGCAAAGGCTCGCGTGCTGCTGTGCGCTAAGGGCAAGGTGCTGCGCACGTGCGGTCGTGCAAGAAGCAGGGCGCTGCTGAGGGCAGCGCCATAGCCCAGCCTCCATAGCTGGCAGGGGCTTGGACTACAGTGAGGCGCAGGGGTGGTCTTCGGGTGTACAGAGGTAAGGCGTGGGTGTAAGTCGAGGGAGAGAGAGAAGGATGATGATGATAATGATGTGAGGGCACATACCTGGTATTGGCGATGGTCTGCATTGGGCAACATCTTCAAGTACTTCGTGGGCTGCTGACGTCAACAGTTGCATTGTCAATTAGTAGGCAGACAGTAGCTGTGTAGGAAGTAGACTGGGTGCCGAGCGCCAAGTAGGGAGAAGGGCCTGTACACTTATGTCGCATACCAAGATGGTGCAGACCAGAACCAAGAACTGACCTCTCACAGATAGAACAGGATAGCACAGCGGAAGGCTAGAATACCAATGATCAGACCCAATCAATGTCGAAATGCAGACTGGACATACATCATCATCATCACACGGTGTGAATGGCCTGGCACTGGACTCCAGGATGAAGGTGCCAGGCCTACTCATACACAGATGAGGAGGAGGGGGAAGAGACAAAGGAGAAGGGGAAAGAGATGGGAATGTCGTCAATCCAAATGTCGCTGATATCAACCCCAAACAATCCCCCCGATGTCTCTGCCCAATGTCGAGTCCAAATCCCAAGTGTCGTCAATCTCTCTCTCTCTCTCTCTCTCTCTCTCTCTCTCTCTCTCTCTCTCTCTCTCTCTCTCTCTCTCTCTCTCTCTCTCTCTCTCTCTCTCACACACACACACACACACACACATAGACGAAAAGTCAAAAGTGTTGGGAGGGGAAGAAGAAAGGCGGTGGACTGGAGGAGGAAGATGAAGAACATCTCTCTCTCTCTCGCTGCCTTGATGCAGGTGCGGATGCGCTGAAGACGAAGCTGGAGCAATGGCTACGCAGGTAAGTCCCTCCCTCCCTGCACTACTCTACTCTATCAGCGCCCGACGCTGGAAGACTAGTCCTATCGTCCACTACTACGGTCCTGCTGTCGTCCGAAGTATGCCTCCTCGATCCTCTACTCAAGAATCAGGAACCGAGGCCGGACCCAGCTATATGTAGCGCTGGGTCGACCTCAACCGCTGAGTCCTGGCGCTCAAACTGAGGCTGGGCCTCAAAGTTTGGCTCCCAAACTGAGGCTGGGCCTCAAAGTTTAACGCCCAAACTGAGGCCGGGCCTCAAAGTTTGGCGCCCAAACTGAGGCTGGGCCTCAAAGTTTGGCGCCCAAACTGAGGCTGCTCCAGCGCCGACCGAAACGGCGCGGCCTCAAAGTCAGGGCCTTGGTGCCATAACCCGCGCCAGGGCCTGTACTCGAACCGAGGCCTACAGGGGCTCTACCTGGTACCGGTCCTACTCGGCCTAAACTCGGCCTAACGACCCTGCGGACCCTGCTGAGGGTCGAAACAACACAGACCCTACACCTACGGACCCCTAGTCTACCTGGTCGGGCCCTGCTGGGCCCGTGTGGTACTGAGTATGCCACACTTATGTTGGTGGTGGCGAGAGCAAGCTCTCATTGACATTTGGTTTTCAGTGTTACTATTCTCCATTGGTGGTATATTGGTGCAATGCTGCTTTCTGGACACTGTGATACTTTCTGGCTTTTAATGTGATTGTGCATTCTGGATATTGTCATCTCACTATTGCTCATTTTCCTTGCAATTTGGTATCGGAGCTGGTTCGAACTGTACTTCACTGGTTCTTCGCAATAGCTGTTCAGTGCTTCGCATGAGGTGTGGGGCAGTGATAAGGCTTGGCCGTTGAATGATTGGCGGCCCAGGGTCGTGTGGGCGCGCCAGGAAGGCTATGTGGTGACATAGGGGTGTACGCTAGATGATGAGAGCTCGCTGATGTGGCATTTAAGCTGAGGTGGAACTACATTTCACTGTTTGTTGTGCCAAGGCAGAGACCCGTCATCATAAATGCACGTCGGGTTGCCGGTGAGAAATCTGTGGCTGGGGGCAGCGTTATGAGGTACGTTGCTCTCTTCCTTATCTACCTTCTTCATTACTTGTTACCGTGAGGAAGTGAGTTATGTCTTGAGAGTCCTCTCAATGTGAGGTGTTGCGAGCTCTCAACCTTGAGAGTCGACATTCTTCCTAGGCAGCAAGCTGGTGGGAGACGGGCGAAGCCTCTGAAGGGCCCTGGACGAAGCACTCGGGTCATGGTCACCATGCCAACCCGCTGGGAGCCTGGGACTAGTACACGCATGCTTTGCCGCAAGTCCTTGGTTCTGCTGCTGTGCATTAGTGGTCATGCCGGGCATGCCAGCCCTTTGAGAGACGCTCACTAGACCGTCTATAAATATTTCTGGCGGGTTCCGGTGTTGAACCCTGGCTGTGATCGGCGTCCTTTCTGCGACGTTAAATAATTCCTGAGGACCTTGGGGGCTGTCCTTAAACTGCCTCTTGATCAGCCAGATCAAACCGGAAGTAAGGCTCGTTGCATGCG